CTCCAGGGGCCGCGTCGCGCCCGGCGCGTTTGGGCGCGAGAAGGCGGGCGACGCGGCGCGCCTGGCGGAGGCGGCGGCGGGCGGGCGGGTGGCGAAGCGGGTGCAGCGGTACGGGAAGGAGGGGGAGAAGGAGCGGTACTATGCTGATGACGACGCGGTGGACCTGCAGGTGGGCGGTTCGACACCCTTCCTCTTTTTTGTATGAGTGTTTGGGATTGTGGAGGCTTCAACGCCGAGCTCTGGGGTGGTGAGAAGGGTTGTTTGTTATGGGGGAGTCGCTCTGGGAGGTTGCTGGTGACGGCGATGGGGGGCGTCGGTTGTTGGTGCAGGCAGGGGTGCCTCGCAGGTGCGACACCTAAGGGGACAAGAGGGCAAAAAAAATGTGGCCGCGTCACGAGCCCGCGCCTCGGGGTCTGAGGCTCTTTGGCGGTGTGCAGAGCCGCCTCCGCGCTGTGTCCGCCTCTGCGCGCCCCGGCGCCGGCCAGCTGAGCCGTCCACAGCCCCCTCCCCCTTGCTCCGGCTCACCTGCCGCCGCGGGGCCCTGCCGCTGCGACCTTTGGCCGAGCCTCGCCCCCCTCCACCCCTGCATCCTAGCAACCGCAGCCTCGTGCGACAAAATTTCCCCTCTCGCCCGCCCTCCCCTCCCCTAACATCCTCACTCCACACGCACGCCCCCTGCTGCCACGCCAAACCCCGCCGCGCTAATCCCCGCCGCGCCCTCTTTTTCTAACCAGACCCTGGTGAAGCGCGCCAAGTATGGCGACGACGCCGGCGCTGATGACATGGACGCAGCCTTCGCGCGCAACGTGGGTCCGATTGGCGCACGCGCACGGCGCCCCGTCCGCGCCCCGCCGCTGGCGGCGAGCATTGCAGTCCTGTTTGTTTGGGCTGGGGGCCGTGCGGAGGTCGCCCCTCAGTGCGGCGCCCTCAGTGCGGCCCAACCTGCCCGCAAAAAGCTTGGACCGCCTCGGCTCGTCGCGGCTCCCGCCCGACCTCCGCCCCCCCCCCCCCCACACACACACACTCACACACCCTGCCTGCGCACCCATGTACCCGTTTGTCCTCATCTTATTGCGCCAGGTCGCGGCCCGCAAGCGCTACAAGGGCAACGAGCTGGACCCTGATGCGGAGTACGATCACGACGGCGGCCTCGAGCTGTGAGCGATCTGATCTGGGGTGATCTGAAGGGTGATCCGAGGATGATGTGATGATGATCTGAGGGTGATCTGGGATCGTGCGCTGTGCTCTTGCCCCATCTCGTCTGCTCCTGAGGAGATATTGCTTACCCATTGCGGAGCCTACGCGATGTTGTTGCGATCCCGCCGGCCCCATCATCCGCTTACCATCCGCACGGCTCCCCTCTCGCGCCCGACCCGCCCTCCTGCACTCCCCGCCACGCATACCCTCAGGTTTGAGGCCAAGAAGCGGCGCGGCGACGCGCAGCAGCAGGCCGCGAGGGACAAGGCGCGGCAGGTGGGGCCCCGGGGGCTCCGGAGCCTCCCCGCTCTCCCTCCCTTGCAACGCCCCTCTCAGAACCCTCGATGCGGGCCCCTCCGCCTCGTCTCCTTTCGCCACCTTCTCATCGTGCTTTGAGACCTCTCGCCGTCTTGCTTCACATTTGTGCCTCATCATGACGGCTGCCCCATTGATCCTCAGCCCGCCGAACTGCCCGTTCTGACACTGCACCCCTTGCAGCAACTGCTCAAATCGTACACGCACCGTACATGCACACACACACACACACTCACACACATGCCACACGCACATACACACACGCGCCAATGCACCCCCCACCCGCAACTGTCCGAAGACACGCACACACACCCCTCCCCACAAAACCACACACACACACACACACACGGAAACACACACAAACACACACAGACACACACACACACACAAATCCCCCTCTCCCCCCCAGGTGGCCTCTTTCAACCGCCAGCAGAAGGCCGAGGACGCCTGCAACCACTGCTTCTCGTCCTCCCGCCGCCCCCGCCATATGACCATCGCGATCGGCCAGTCGACGTACCTCGCACTGGTCCCCAAGGGGCGGCTGTCGGAGGGGCACTGCTACATCGCGCCCGCGGAGCACGTGGCCAGCATGCGGCAGGTGGGGGGGCAGTTTGATAGCGGTGCTGTTTGCGTCTAATGGAGCGCCGTTGCTTGGCGCCCGTCCTTGGACCCCTCAAACCACCACGCCGCCTTCCCATCCCCAACCCTGTCCTCCTCCCAACCACCTCCTTTTCTTCCCCCTGCCCTGCCCCCCTACCGTTACTATCCCTCCCACTCC